TCAGGGAAAGAACTGCATAGCAGGAAAGGCTTCTGCTGGGGTATTTATTATCTTTATAACATTGGGGAGTTGGCAGAAACCTGCTTTGCTAGGTCAGAGTGACCTAGGTGACTGCAGTCTCATGCCTGATGCTTGATGTATTCCCTGGGTCACAAAATTCTTTTGGTGTTTTATAGTTTGCTTTGTTTACTTAGAATGGCTTTATATGAGTGGAGTTCCTAGGCATATTCTTGGAATATGCATCTATTCCTGACACATAGTGAATTATCATTGAGATCTGCTGAGTTTTTTGACATGCTGCAACCTCTAATATTTAAGACTTGACAATTCCTTTCCCTTCCTGCCTTATTTATTTAGTATAATAGGGATTTTCTTATATATACACTTATATAATTTAAAAATACTGTATCATTACTGCATTTGCTTCCAACACAAATAGTACATTATAAGAGTTTGATTTTAAAGCAACATGTAAAGAAATGATATAAAGGTAAACCATAATTTAGACAGATGTGTTTGAGAAAACAGTTTTGTGAATAATTTGCAAACATATTTGGAAAATCTATAAAATGAAAATGATCTTGGAGTAGTAAAAGAGGTTTTTAATGCTCTATACTTTATGAAAAAAAGATTTTTATGTTTAGCATAAAAATGTTTTATGCTGAAAATCAAGCTAGCTACTTTTACTCCTTTAACCCACTCTCATCATCATTTTCATCTAACCTGATTCATTTGTTGTCATTTATTTTATTCTTTTTTTTTTTTTTTTTAGATTTGCACCTTTTGCTCTCTGTAACTTTGAAAAGGTTATGTAGACTTCTCTGGACTTGAATTTCCTTTTGTATAAATTGGTAATAATATATACATCAAAGTGTGTTGGGTAAGATGGTAAACAAAACAATATTTCTGCTCTGTAGGGGCTAAAATTGTCGTAGTAGGAGAATAACAATAAAGTAAAGAAGAAAAGATGCAGTCTGAAAGGTTTTTTTTTTCAAAACAATGTTATAATAATAAGTAAAAGGAATTAGGGCAAAGAAGGCTTCTCTGATAAGATCATTTGAGCAGAGAACTGATAGAGGTAAGGGAGGGAGTTAGAAGGACATCTGGGAGAAAACCATTTCAAGCAGTAGAAATAATAAGTTCAAAGATCCTAAGGGAAAGGAATGTCAGTCTTGTTAGAATACTAGTAAAGATCAGAGTAAGACCAAAAAAGGACAGAGAGTGTGGGCAGTGATTTGAGGTACAAATCATGTATAAACTCAAGGTTATTTTGAGGTCTTTTTATCTCACTTTGAATAAAATCTAAAGCTATTAGAGTAAGAATAACATTATCTGACTTAAAGGTACATGAAAAGGCCATAGATGTTTTTAAGACATAAGGTTAGCAATTAATTTCATAAGCAAGAAACAACTAAATTCATAAAGAAAAATGTTACTGAATTTGGCTGTGTTAAAATTAGTCTTCTGCTTGATAAAATCATTAAAAAGAAAAGCCATAATGCAGTAGAATCTGCATGTATCACTTCACTCAATTTGTGTTCAGAAAAAGTGAAAGACATTCTACAAATTAATGAGAAAATAAGATTTGCTAAAGTTGGCAAAAGAAAACAAACAAGCATGTACAAATGATTGAACACAAAAATAAGAATGAGCATATCAAAAGATGCTCAAACTCAAGTGGGGAATATTAATGCAGTTCCCCACTTACCTGTTTGATAAAATGAATAGTACAAAGGTACTGTGTTCATTGAATATAAGAAAAATGGAAATTCTTACATTGCCAATTTTTAAAAAAATACGATTATACCTAACAAATTTGAAAATACATAAACCTGACCTCAAAAATTCTGTGTCCAGGTGTACACCCTTCACAAAAATAATGTGCATTAGGAGAACTATAAAAAATATATCTTTGTAAGAATATTTGTAATAGCAAACATTGGGAACAAATTGAATGTCATCAATAAGAGAAAGCAATAAAATATATTGCACTCTTATGAAAAAATGTTTAAATTTTTATGAAATTAAAAAGTATTTTAAATAAGAAGCCATTGCTCAAAAATCAGAGGAAGAATAGTAAAAATGGAACGAAGATATATCCAGTTACTATCCATTAAAATATACTTTTGAGTAATATAATTTTCACTGAGATAGTGTCTGTATGTTTATGTGTATAAAAATTTAACCTTGAGGATATCTTAATATATGGTTTTTGCTTTTAAAATTGTCAAACATTTAATTTTGTAAATTTTATTTTCCCTAGTAATAGAAATAATGCCACCCCCCCAATTTTATTAATGGAATTTTGGAAAGTACCTAGAGTCATTAAATGAATATGTCTTATTTTTATTGCCATTTATGTTTTAAATATTTACCAAGATGTTTGTTATGGCTAAAATGTTCTAGAATTCTAGATGAATTATCAGCAGATCAAATATGTATAATGTGTGTATTCAAATTTATATAAGAATATAAAAGAGAAAAAGAAGATTAAAGGCGAATTGTAATAGGATCCACATTGGTCCCATCTTTCTGCACCAAACATCTGCATTAAGCAGTAGACATTCTCTACATACGAACATTTTTAGTGATACAGATCTTTAGTTCTTTTTTTCTGTCATTATTTACAATGTGCTATGATTAGGAAAATTTATACAGGTAGATTGTCCAAAACACTATAAAATAATGAGTTCTTAAGGTCTACAGACTTGTACTGGTACTACAAAACAGTCATTCCCTCATTGTTATACAAAATTACATATAAGAGGATGTGAGGGGAAAGGAAAAAAACAAAACAAAACAAGGGAGAGAAATGAATTACAGTAGATGGGGTAGAGAGAGAAGATGGGAGGGGAGGGGAGGGGAGGGGGGATAGTAGAGGATAGGAAAGGTAGCAGAATACAACAGTCACTAGTATGGCAATATGTAAAAACGTGGATGTGTAAACGATATAATACTGCAATCTGTATACGGGGTAAAAAATGGGAGTTCATAACCCACTTGAATCAAATGTATGAAATATGATATGTCAAGAGCTATGTAATGTTTTGGAACAACCAATAAGAAAAAACAGTCATTCTCTCAACCATATCCTTTGCAACATGATTGAAATTCAGTAATATCTAAATTTCAGTGGTTTAAAAACTGTATCATGGTCTCTTAAGGTTTAGTGGTAGCATTTGAGGGGTGTGGGGTGGGGGACAGGGCAAAACTTCATAGGGCTGGTCAGGTGTTTTTCTCTGGTATACCTAAGCTTCCAAACAAGTTTTGCTTGTTTTGTTTTTGTTTTTGTTTTTGTTTTTTTCCCCAGAAAGGGTTCCAATACTATAAATAGAATAGTTTGAAAACCTTCTGTATAGAGAGCTCTTTGTAAGCAAAAATGCGTAACTTGTGGAGTCAGGTATTTATTATGCAGAAGTTGGTTAATACAGTCATGAAAACAGAGTCAAATGCAAATAATTTATTAATAATCAAATTCAATAATGTGGTTATAAAAACTGACTCAGTGTAGAAACATTTACCTGTAGAACTTTCTCTGACCTCTACTTAATTGGATAGATATAACCCAGTGATATCCTTCCAGGTTTTGCTATTGGGAAAGAGGCATCCTGCCTCTATTACTGTGTGTCTTAGAGACTTATTGATACTATTTGTACACATATAGCTAGAAATGAGAAAAAAAATCAAAGCAAATGGAGGAATTTCTGGGCTAGAATTACTTTATTTTTTCCTTCATTTTTTTAACCATTTAGTCTTTGAGCAGAATACATAATAAATACATTTCCAGAATTGGTGAGTTCTAAATCTTAACAGTAGACAATGTCAAAAATGTTGTAATAACATGAAGAAGGATGTTCTTAGCTAAAATGCTCCCATGATTTTCTTAATACCTGACATCTTTCAACATGGCATGAATAAACCCATGATTTGAAAGTAGACAAAAGGTAAAGAAGATATTTTGTGTTCTCAGTCTCAGTTTTAAAATGGCAATTAACTGACTAGCTATAGGACCTGCAAAATTTGTTAAATTGTTTTATTATAATGTGCTTTTTTGATTTTGTAAGTTTTTTTTACTGAATCCTCAAATTTTCTAAGTGAAATGATATCTGACTTAAGTATTTATATAACTAAACAAAATATGAAACAACACATTTAAAATTCAAGCATAAAAAAGCAATTTAACACAGACACACACACTGTGAAAAGGAAAAAAGCCAACTTTAATACATTCTCATTTTCTAGGAATTCAATGAATTTTGTCACTGTCTACAAGTGGTATGGTTTAGATGTGAGGTATCCCCCAAAAGGTCAAGTGAGAGACAATGCAAAGAGGAGAAATGATTGGGTTATAACAGTCTTAATCCAATCAGTGTATTAATTCCCTCGTAGGGATTAACTGAATAGTAGGGTGTGGATGGAGGAGGTGGGAATTGGGGCATTCTTTGGGATATGTATTTGTTTCTGGCAAGTGGAGAACTCTGTCTGCCTCCTGGTCACCACAGTGTGAGCTGCTTTCCTCTACCACCCTATCCTGCCATGTTGGGGCCTAAGAAATGGAGCCTGCCTTCTGTGGACTAAGACCTCTGAAACCATGAACCCTCAAATAAATTTTTCCTACTCTATAGTTGTTCTGGTTAGAACCTTTAGTCAGAGCTGTGAAAAGAAAGCTGACTAGAACAGAAAGTAACACAATTTTATGTATAACAACATGAAATGTTAGAACTGGTTTTGAAATTTCTTAAAGTGTTATGAAAGTTCTGAATTTAAAGAGTATTTAGAATTAAACTCTCAAAATCTAGCAGATTAAAGAACTCTAGTTATAAGTATTAAAACTTAAGACATAAATAAATAATGGTCATTTTATGTAATGTAAATATGAGTTGCATTTACCTGTGTTTGCATTTGTAATTTAACCATTCTGGAACACTGTATTCAGTTCCAGAAAAATTTATAGATTTTATTGGCATCTATTTCTACTGTCTCCTTGACAACTACTACAGATGCTGCTATCACCATGGGAATGGTTCTTCTAAATGAAGCAGCAACTTCCAAAGGAGATGTTGGAAAAAGACGGAGTAAGTCTCTATTGGTTCTTTTTTAATTTTGTTTTTAGCTTGAAGATTTTTTTAAAGCAAATGGGAAGTATAGAAAAATTTCTTTATAAACATAAACTTCTAAAGAAGTAGTATAATTTGAAGAAGGTTAAGATTTTTCTGTTTCTTGGATGTTATTTCTTCCAAAATGGGATTTGGGTGATACTCTATGGAATTATATATAAAAAAGAGATGCCATCATCCTTGTCAGGGATGCCTTGATCCATTTCTGCTGAACCATTGTCTTTGTAATCACATCCAGACTACAGAGATAGAAAAAGAATTTCTGAGTAGCATCTTCAGAGATTTTATTGGCACATAATATGTTCCTTATGTTGGGATAATCAAGGAGCATTAGAAACCTGACTTGGATTGAGGGTATTCTTCTGCATAGGTTTTATACTTAAATATCATTCTTTCCTTCCAATTTCCTTCAGACCTTCTTTTATCAATCTTTTTAAAAGAAGGTCATCTTCTGATACTATCTTTTTCTGGGGCTTTGCTTTTCCATTGATATACCAAGATATACAGCTCTATCAGGTTCCAGCTTTATGATTTTAAATAAATTAACTGTTTTATCCTTTGATGAAATGATTCTTCTCAGAGGGTTTTAGAAAAACAAATAGTTTTATAAGGTAACAAATTTTGGTAGGTAAAAAATAATGCATAGGAAATATATTTTTCCTGGAAAAACATAGATTAGCAAAGAAAAGAGGCCTTAGAGTCAATGTTTTCTCCCATAAGCCTTTTTATAATTAAGTCCATACATGATTTTATGATTATACCTCCACAAAACTATAATTAAATTTTTGCCAATACATTTTGTATTTGTGAACACTTTTTAAGACCCAGAGTTTCTGTTTAAAAGCATAGGTATCTGAAAAATACTAATAATTTTTTAAGATATTTAAAATAAAAATCTAGGTATTTTCTTTGAGATTTTTAACACATATAAATGTATATAAAGGAATCAGCGATTTTTTTAATACTTGAAAGTGTTAAGTATTGAAATGTTTGGATGTGTAATGTACAGTCAAAATTCACCTCTGTTTTCCCTTGATACATTCTACACACTGTTGTAAAGAAACTACAGGAGAAATGAGGGAATTACTTTGCTTCTTTAAACATTGTTGAGGATCGTAAAATGATGTATCTTTTGAATAAACAAGGTCGTGTTCTTGGGATTGATCAATCACGCTTATGAGGACATACTCTTAATGTGATGATATATTTATCTTATGTCCTGTCATATCAAGGTAAGTAATAGTAATAAGAAATATATAAAGTTTTTAATCTCACAATATGCATGATACAGTAGAGTTTATAAAACCACTACTTCCAAATTCCCTCTTGATAGATGTTTCTATCATGACTCCTCCCAATTACCTCCAAGTTTTGTATTCTTGTGTGCACATGGATACATGTGTGTGAGAGTGCATTGTGCACGTGAATTAATTGGAAAGTATATTTTTAAATTACTGCTTTTGGATTCAGATGTGATTTCTTACTTTGATATTGAATAACTGCTATGATTATTAATATTTCCCAGTTCAAAATGCTTCCATGTCATCATGGCATTTTCTTCTTACAGGTGTGTTTTCTCATAATCTGTCATGGTTCATTTGTTATTCTGCACTATGCTCAGTTCTTCTGACTTCCCCATGCACAAACACTTGAGTCGCATTATTTTGTTCCACTGCCTAATATTAAGTAAATAAACTGTTTTACTTGATCACATATTTTGAGCCTCATCACTCATTTGAGCACAACCTAGGAGGCTAGCTAACAACAGTGAGGGCATAACAAAGAATGCTTTATCCCTCTTCTGAAAAAATTAAAAAGGGGACATAAAGGAAAAGAAGTGTTTGGTAAAATATCTTAATTTGGAAAAGTATAAAGTAAAGCATTGTGTAATTAATTCTAAGATTAGTAATATTGATGTAAGTAGTTTTTCATATGTTATGTCTTAGGATCTGGTGTCCGTCTTACGTGGCTATTGTATGATTTTTTGAAAGCACGTTTTTCATTTGTGGTATTTGGGAACCTTTTTTACTTTATTTTCTGCTAATATCCATTTCAAGTTCAATTGCATCAGTGTTGTCTAAAATGAGAGGTCACTGAGGCTACAATTGGATACAATTAAATGCTTATGTTTTATAATTTATACTCTAAACTTAGAAATTCATGCAGAGTTGAATGAAAACTGGCAGAGTAGACCATATTTTGGCAATGCTGTACCTTATCTACTCACTGATTTCCAGGATTGAGATTAAACCTGGATTCATTTATATGCCAGGAAAAAAATTAAAAATCATATTTCATTGTTATAGAAGCATATATGTCCATTTAATTTTCCTTTCTTCTTCTTCCTTGGTGTTTTTAATCTCTTTTATCCTGTCTTCCGTTCTTTGACAGTTATTTCGGATATTTTATAAAACCAGATTTTAGAATTCCCTGAAACTAATGAAAGGATATAAGTATTGTAAAAATGGTTTTTTTTAAATATGTCTAGATACTTCTTATTGAGTATTAAAAAACACATTAATTTCTGATTTTATAGAAATTCTATAATTCTAATTTTAAGGAAAAACAATTTCTCATTGTGTAAAACAGATTTAGATAGAATTTAACTTACTTATATTTGTTTTGTTTCATTCTAAACATACCTATATTTAATTGGCTTAGACTTTTAAGCATTTAAATTTAATAAGCATGTTTAGATATATTTTACTAGTAACAATGAATCTTCTTTAATTAAATATCAAAAATGTACATGCAAAAGAAACATGATAGATTTTATCAATCATTTACTTTTGAGTAAAATCTTCCCAACCATAATAGAAAGGAAATAAAAAAAAAAAAGAAAAAAGAAAGTATTGTCAGCTTTTCTAGTACAGAGTAATATAGAAAACATGGACCACAGCACATAGTACCATAACATATGCCTTTTGTTTCTCTGTAAAACATACTGAAATACCCAGACATTATTACCTGCTTTGGAAAGGAGGGTGGTTCTCCCTTTTGCTCTTAGACCTTATTTTCTTACTCTCCCAACTTTTATTTCTAGCTTTATATAGGCTAAAATGAACTATTTTTTAGTAACATGCTTTTATACTGAGGCAAAAATCTAACCAGTAACTTAAAATTATATTTCTTTGTCAATACTGCATGGCATCTAAGAAGAATAAAATTTAGCATTTCTAATAATGCAAATGTTCCTGCTGTTACAACCAATACTTCAAAATGCAGGGGCTGATAATCTTGTTTGTGGTTTGTTATATTTTGTTTTGTTTTGATCCCTTTGGGGCATTTTAGTACTTGTAGGAACTCTGTTAAAAGAAGAAAACCACCAGAAGACTTAGATAAGTCCATTTTGTTGTTTTCATACCCCAAATAGTAGATTTTCATTGAGAAGAATGTGGAAAATAATGAATACATTGTATTGTGGATTATCTGGTTTGTTGTACCTGTGTGTGCCATGAACTATTAAATGTAAGTATTCTGTAAATTGGATGCATTTTTAAAATATGAACATTTGGGTTGTCATTGCATATGTTTAGACTCTAATGGCATTTTCTCTCTTTTTCTAGTAATTTGCCTAGTGGGATTAGGCCTGGTGGTCTTCTTCTTCAGTTTTCTACTTTCAATATTTCGTTCCAAGTACCACGGCTATCCTTATAGGTAATATCTTTATATTATCATGAATGGTTTTATATTTAACTCAGAATAAACAGAATTTCAGTAGTTGGTATATAATTAAGGATTAGTATAAGGTAACTAATTAATTTGCTGTGTGGTCTTAAATTCAGTTAAGCAAATTTTTGAGCACCTACCATGTGTTCAGCATAGTAGACTATACAAAGGAGATATAAGGCATATTCCTGTTCCTAAGGTATAGTTTCACTTTAGGGATAGATCACTGTATATTTATATGCACATATAGTGAAATGAGTTTTAAGCTCTATGGATTTCATCAAAATTTCTTCTTTCTTTGTTTTGCGTATTTATCATGATTTTTACTTCATTTGCAAGATTTTTTTCATGTAATCTCCCAGTGTCAAATAAACATTCATCATCTTTTGAATTCAGCAAATTTATAACTTTTCCAAATAAGAAAAGCCAACTTTAAAGAGAAAAAATAAATGATAAACTAATCTCTGGTCACTAGAATTTGTCATAATGAATATCTTGTAAGGTTTTCACCAACATGTTGTCCAAATTGGAAGATGATGAAAATCCAATCTGAGATCATATTACTATTACCAAATCACACTGACTTAAAGCACACTGCAGTAAATGTGTCAGATTACACCTATTGAGTTTATGAATTAGGCATGTTTGTCTTTTGGGCATATTCCTGCCTTAGCTTTTTTTTTTTTAAGAAATAACTTTTACTTTCTCTAGAGAATTCTTCTTATGGATTAACCTATGTTTCTCTCTTATAAAGAAATAAAAGCCATATACTTCCTTCCTCAGAGACTTTAAAGACCCTATCTGCCGAGGTGATAGAACCAGTGAAATGTGGTTAGAAAAAAAAAAAGCTCATTATACTTTAATGTACCTTCCTCACATGAACAGTGGACATTTTTTAAAAATTTTTATTAGTGCATTATAGTTATGCATAATTTTGGAATTTAACATAATTAGCCAAAGCATGGAATTTAATTTGCTCCAATTCAGTCTCAAGGATTTCACATTTCCTGTCCCTTCTCCCTCCCTTTGATGCCTTTCTTCAGTGAGTCCTTCTTCTATTTATTTATAGTTTTATTTTTTAATTTAGTGTTTTATGGACATAAAGTGAAATTAACTGTGGTATATTTATAAATACAGTGTGATTTTGTCACATTCATTCTACATTTCCTCCCCCTTTCATGTCCGTCCCTCCTTTCTCCTCATCAATCTCTCTTCTACTTCATTGACTTTCCATGTATCTTTATGTCTGACCGCCGCCTCCCCGCTTTTTCATCTCCTTTATTTTGCTGTAGCTTCTTCATATGAGAGAAAACATTTGACCCTTGACTTTCTGGGTCTGACTTATTTCACTTAGCATGATATTCTCTAGTTCCATTCATTTACCAGCAAATGCCATAGTTTCATTCTTCTGTATGGCTGAGTAAAACTCCTTTGTGTATTTATACATTTATTTATCTATTTGTCTGTTGACATGTGTCCAAGCTGTTTCCATAACTTGGCTATTGTGAATTATGCTGCTATGAACATTGGTGTGGCAATATCTGTTTAGCATGCTGATTTTAGATCTTTTAGACATATACCAAGGAGTAGGATAGCTGGGTCAAATGATGCTTCTATTTCTAGTTATTTGAGGAATCTCCATATTGCTTTCCAGAGTGGTACTGATTTGCAGTCCCACCAATAATGTACGAGTGTATCTTTTTCCCTACATCCTTGCCAACATTATTGTTTTCTTGATAATTGCCATTCTGACTGGAGTGAAATGAAATTTCAGTATAGTTTTGATTTGCATTTTGCTGATTGCTAGAGATGTTGAATGTTTTTCCATACATTTGTTGTTCATTTATATTTCTTTTTTTGAGAAGCATTAGTTACTTTGCCCATTTACTATGTCTTTTTTTTTATTTGACTGTTCATGTTTTGTTTTTGGTGGTTTTTCAGTTCTTTATATTCTTGAAATTAATCCTCTGAGGAGCAGATAACAAGCATCTTTCATTCTGTAGATCCTAAGTGTTTCCTGTACAGAAGCTTTTTAATGTGATGTCATCCCAATTATTGATTCTTGGTTTTATTTCTCATACTTTTGAAGTCTTGTTAAGGAAGTCAGTGACTGTGCCAGTGTGTTGAAGTTTCTGGCCTACATTTTCTTCTAGCAGTTGCAGGGTTTCTACTCTAATTCCTAAATCTTTGATCTACTTTGAGGTGACTTTTGTGCAGTGTGAGAGAGGGGAGTCAAATTTCCTTCTACATTTGTTTTCTTGTATTGTTCCTGTTTTTAGAGGAAATGCTTTCAGTTATTCTACATTCAGTATGATGTTGGCCTTGGCTTTGTTGTATATTGCCTTTAGAATAACAAAGTAAGTTTCTTGTATCCCTAGTTGCTCTAGTGTCTTAAACATGAATGGGTGCTGGACTTTGACCAATGCTTTTTCTGCATCTATAATCATGTGATTTCTAGCCTTAACTCTATGTGGTGAATTTCGTTTATTGATTTGCATATGTTGAACCAACCTTGTTTCCCTGGGATAAAATCCACTTGATCATGGTATACTGTCTTAATGTGTTTTTGAATGGTTTGCCATTATTTTATTAAGGATTTTTGCATCTTTGTACATTAGGGATATTAGTCTGAGTTTTCTTTCTTCCTTTGAATTGTCTTTGTCTGGTTTTGGTATCAGAGTGAGGCTGGCCTCATAGAAGGAATTTTAATGTTTGTACATGCATGATTGTAATGGTGTTTAGCTTTATATTTAGTATTATCTGGAAGACAAATAATCCCATAAAAGAGATATCTAATTATGGAATTATATAATCCAAGTGTAAGTCTTCAGTGCTACCTGTTTTCTCACATGGATGAAGGTACAGTTCTAATTCTCTTCTTCCCACATCCATTAAAAATAAATGTATTGTGAGAATAGAGGCAACGTGGGTATCAGATCTGAGTTGTGGGATCATCTACTTTAAACTTTGTCGACGATATAAACTTTTTAAAACATTATTTCTGGGGGCAACAACAGACAAAGTGTCCAGTTTCTTTCATTTTATCCTTAGTGTTAGCCAGCCAGCCAGTTTTTTCTCTGAAAATGTGAAAGTATTAAATTAATCAAATCCAGGACAACTAGTACTTTAAGAAAGATGAGTTACTTTTATTCCCCCATTCCTCCTACCTTGGGATTGGGAATTCTGGTGCTGTATGAATTTTTTTTAGTTTGATATATACTAGTTCTATAACAGAATCTGTAAATAAAGAGAAATACTCTGTATTTTTAAGTCTTTTATCTAGAATACCAAGAGCATTTAAATATCAATTCATTTTGATCTATAGCACTTAAAATATGTCAAAGGTAAAGATTGTATCTCTATATTCATTAAAATATAAACTACAGCAATATCTGCTGTGAGATCTTAAACCGTATTAGTTGACAGGAAAAAAAGTAAATAGCAAATTCTAGCTTTCCTTGTATTTCAGATCACATTATCATACCAGAATATCATTTACTATGTAGATTATTTTGACATAGCAATATGAGTAGGAAAAGTAGAGAAAAAAATAGAGATTTACCAGTTCCTTATATTGTTATTTTTGATGGCAGTATTTTTTGGAATTATATGAATAGTTTTCAAGTTTGTGCTTTCTTTCAAGTCATGACAGTCATTTACTACAGTAACTCTCTACTACTCTGGGTTGTTTTTACTTTTTTTTTTTTTTGCTTGTTTTTTTATTAGCCAGGTTAAACATGTAAACCACCTGAGAAGCTTTTCCAAATTCATATTGTAGGCTTACCCAGATACACATAGTAAGCATATGTAAAATAGGATATACCTATTGATTTAATTGTAACTTTCTTACGTGTAACGGGTCCCATGCTCTTGCCAAGATTCTACCATCCTAACGAGATAGGAAGCCAGCTGAAGGCAAGCCTAAGACTTGAAATGTATATCAAATCCTCTTTAAAAAAAAAAAAAAGGAAAGGAAATCATGGCCACTAATGGTTTATGAATATGAAATTTTACATAGTTTGATGTAAATCCATAAATAAATGAGGAGCTACCAAGTAAAGAATCACAAGAGAGACTCAGTGTGCCAAACTGAGGTGTGGTATAGAGAAGTAAAAGGGAGACTTCTGGGTGCTGCAGTGGCCCTGCAGTGTTGTCTTTGATGTGCTGTTGTGTGGGTTTACCAGGTTGGTTTAAATATTCTAAATAGCATTTGGCTGATCTGTGGGGCAATTTTAGATTTAAATGGCATACAGGTAATTAAGCCATTTTAGAAAATGGGAGGTTTATGATAAAGGCATGGAAAGAAGTAAAGACAACTAAAAGCCTACTTGCCACACAACTAGATATCAGAGAAAAAAGGGTTTAGAAACAGGTCATAAGGATAAATTTGCTGCCCCTATTTTATGCTGCAGAGGTGACGGAATTATTTGGAGGTACAAACCTCTAATTTTTCTACCAGGGTAATTGAGTAATTTCTTTTCAACTCTCCTACCCTTGCTACCATGAATAATTTGTGAACTTTTTCTGAGAAGGGCCTGATTTCTTAAGTTTGTTACTCCCCAGTATGTGGCATGAAAGTTAAAGAGAACTTTCATTATTCCTCCTGATCGTAGGCCCTGGTCCTCCCTCTGAACTCCTTAAAGGTATCTCCATCACCACAATTACTTTCCATATTCATTAGTGTTATCTGTATATGTCAGGTGTCTGACTTTGTTGGTGCCATTCAAAGCTGAATGTAAATTAGGCATCTATTTCCACTGAAGGGAAGTCAAATAAAATGACAGATGCCTACAAAAGCATTAAGTGAACAGAGCAGTATTCAATTCAGCTAATTTGTGTATGTAATATAGCTTTTGAAGATACATCATTCACTTTCCTTACAGGTAGTTCTCAAAACTGACTTTACAAATACATGTAATGACCTCCATGAAATGGCAAAAATAATTGAATTTTTAAATGACATGAGTTAGCATCTATATGAAGATTGG